ATGCATCACTTGCTGTGTACTATACCCATTGAATGTCCAGTCTGCAAGCACAGAAGCCAGCATCAGCCTTGATGACTGTGTACAGTAAAGTGGGGGCAAATGGGACCTGGACACATCCATTGACCTGGGGGAGCAGAGGGAGGCTCTCGATTGCCTATGCCTGGCACTGGGTGCTGGTAGCATCATGAATGAAAAGAGTGACAGGCAGACTGTTAGCCAGCCCTACTCCATCACTAAGGGGTGAATTTGGTGGGCAATCCTTTCATCCAAGCAAGAAGGATGCAGAAGCAAACAGATCTCTGTGATGTTGAGGCCAACTTGGTCTATACAGTGAGACAGAGAACAGCCAGGGCTGTAAGGACAAACCCTGTGTCAAAAAAAGGACCTGGCATTGTGGTACACACCTTTAACCCTGCTATTTCTGAGGCTGAGGAATATAAGTGCAAATCTTTCATTTTGAGGACAGTCTGGTTTGCACAGTGAGTTCTAGAACTGCCAGTGCTACACAGAGAAACTGTTTTTGAAAAAAGGAAAAAGGGAGGGTGACAGCAATCAGAAGGCATAGGATGATGACCTTTGGCAGCCTGAGTTGTGATCCTTGAACTAAGAGAATCACCAAGCATTGAAGACCACATTTTAAATGGGCTCAGTCCCAAGATTGGAGAAGTAAGAGGGTGTGGCAAAATATGTTAGCATTTTAGGTCCCCACAAAAGCAGCATTGGTTATATCTGCTCAATGATGAAAGCCATCCTCAAATATACCAAGCCTCTATATGGTGAAGCTTACACCTGGAGGGGCCATTGAGTGGGAGTGTCTGTGGGAATGATGGGAAAAATGTGGAGGATCTGGGAGGGGCCTGAAAGGAAAATACATTTAAGGCCGTGTCCTTGGACTGGAGTTTCAAACGGCTGTGGCAGCAGTGATCTGGTGAAGACAGGAGTTCCTGCTGATGGCCAGGGTAAGTTGGCCAGTGAGGCTTCTGTTTGAATGGTGGTGTGTGTGGGTGGGGTGGTTGTACCATTCTGTGCGACCACAGCAATGAATATGTGATCATTTCTCCCACATCTTTACCAGCCTGAGCTGCTGTTGTTCATTGTTTTTGGCACTTCTGAAAAAGTTAAAAATCTCAAAGTAATTGTAATCTGCATTGATCTGATGGCAATAGATGCTGAAGGCTTTTTTTGTTTGTTTACTTTTTTGAGGTCAGGTCATTCCATGTAGTTTTGGGTGTCCTGGTGCTCCCCGTGTAGACCAGGTTGTGCAAAACTGCTCAGACATTCTCCTGCCCCTGCCTGCTTAGTTTTGGAATTGAAGTCATGTACCACCACACACAAGTAGTTTAAATTTTTATTTTATTCTTTGTTTATGGGATAGGGATTTTTAGTGTAGTCTTGGATGTTCTGTAAATCCTGTTGTTTAATATGCGGCCCTCCAACTCAGATTCTGATGCCTCTGCTTCCCTAGTGATGGGGTTAAAGGTGTGTGTCACCACTCCCTGTTAGATTTGTTGCTCTTAGGTTTCATTTGAAAAAATTCAAGGTCTTCATGGACTATACAGCACATTCAAGTTCAGTTTAGGATACACAATACTCTAACTAAAAAGGGGAAATTTTGAAAAACTTATTTATTAATAGAGACCATGGGTCACATCTTATAGAAGAGAATTGCTCTCCTGTCTCAGGACCGTAAGAAGAGCAGATGTAGGACTAGTGTCTCTCAAGTTTTAAAGGAGTAGGAGAAAGCCAGGCATTGGTGGACCACACCTTTAACCCCAGCACTCAGGAGGCAGAGGCAGCCAAATCTCTGTGAGTTTGAGGCCAGCCTGATCTACAGAGCGAGTTCTAGGACAGCCTCCAAAACAATACACAGAAACCCTGTTTTGAAAAGCCAAAACCAAAAAAAAAAGAGAGAAAATGCCCTTTAAAAAATCAGAATAAATATCTAAAAAGGACAGAATGTCCTCCTGAGGTACTCAGTAGTGTCTAAAGGGGGTGGAAAAGGCACCCTCAAGGGATTAGGGTCTGTAATCTCAGCATGTTTGAGGTAGGGGACTAGAAGTTTATGGTCATTCTTAGTCATACAATGGGTATGAGACCAGCCTGAGCTATGAAAAACTGGTGTCAGTCTTTGATTTTCCTGGAGACATAAACCTTGAACCCAGAGCTCTGATGCTTGTAAAATGGCACAGCTAAAGTCCATGTCACCTGGATTGAGAACCTGAGTTTTATTTCCATGTCCATAGGATGGAAGGGGAAACCATGCGGTTTGTTTCTTCTACAAATATACTCTGGCAGGCTATGCAACCAAATGCATGCACAAAACACATGTAATAACATTTTTTTTTCTTTTAGGAAAAATGACTTGTTTTATTTTTTCTTAAGTTTTTTTAATAATAATTTTTTTAAATTTAACTTTTTACACATATTACTCCCAGTTCCCTCTCCCTCTACTCCTCCCCCATCTACCAATTCTCCAACCCCTCACCTCACTCAAATCCCCCTCTGCTCTCCAGGGGAAGGGTAAGGCCTTCCATGAGGGATTTTCAGAGTCTGTCATATCATCCTGGGCAGGGCCTAGGTCCTCCCCCATGTGACCAGACTGAGAGAGCATCCCTCCATGTGGAATGGGCTCCCAGAGTCCATTTGTATGCCAGGAATAAATATGATCTACTCTCCCAGGTCCCATAGATTGCCGAGGCCTCCTCTCTGACACCCAGGTTGGGGGTGGGCGTGCGTGTCTGTATCAGTCCCATGTTGCCCTCACTGTCAAAAGTCTGGGGTCCATGCATTCCCACTTGTTTAGGTCAGTTGCTTCTGACCTAGAAGCAGGATAAGTTGAAGTCCAGTTTTTGATATGTATGCTGACAGTTGAGCCCCAATATGTTCAGGGAGGGAGACTCAAGAGGGCAAGACCAAGTTTCTCTTGGTATTCATTTTCACAAATCCTGTCAATTAGTAAATGTTCTGTAAACCATGATTATTTCTTGGAGGGTCTCATGAGCCACTCTTTTAATGTCAGCTGTCAGCAAACTGAGGCAAAGTAATCTCTGTGGGGTTTGGGGGCAGCCTGGTCAACACACACAGATCTAGAGAACAATAGTAATGAAATCAGCTAGGCAGTGGTGCTGCCTGCCTTTAATCCCAGAATTTGGAAGGCAAAGGCAGTGGGATCTCCCTGAGATGGATGTCTGCAGAATGAGTGCCAGGACAGTCTTCAAACCTATGCAGAAAAACCCTGTGTTGAAATCCCCAAGAAGAATAATTAAGTCAATGAGATTCGGCCTCTAGGGTGGGGTAGAATCCTGAGTGGCACCAAAGGGCATCTTCAGGTTAGGAGGAGACAAAGAATGGGAGGAGCTTGGAGTCTCCTGTTTGGTGGAGCTATTCAAGCCCATGTTCTTGAAGTTTAACCCTTCAATGTGAGCACCAGGGATCAGACAAGTGCAGGGATTGGGGCAGAGTGGGGAAGTGATACTGAGTCCCCAAAGTGTGTGCCCAGCTGATATGCCATTGTCCACTCTCTACTATAAAGTGAGGGGCCGGAGCCCACCATTGTGTAGGAAGCCTAGAGAAATTGATGGAGGTCTTGACTTTTGAATCTAGGGACTGTTGGTCATCTTTTAACCATTTCCTTCATTGCCAAGCACTCCGTTGTTGGAAGAATTCCCAATGTTATTTCCGGGTACCTTGGGGACCACAGGGGGGCTCCAGATGGCCCAGATAGATAGGGCAGTGTTGTAGAGAGAAGCCTTTTCCTTGCCAGCCACTTTGGTTTTTCCCCACCAGTTGCCTGGGCTCTGCCGCGTTGTAGTTCCCAAATAACACACAAGACACTGTATTAATTATGAAGCTGTTGGCCTTGCTTGCTTTATACTGGCTAGTTCCGACTTAATTATTTACTCCATAATTGTTAATCTTAAGTATTTCTCTTATCAGAGAAAGGGTCTGAACTTCTTACCACCATGGCTGCTACATGGTGACTCCCTGTGTTTCTCCTACCCAGAGTCCTCCTCTATTCCTAGTCCCACCTATCTTGCTTTCCTTTAGCCAACAGTGCTTTATTCAACAACCAATAAGAGTCACTGACATATCCCATCACAGAGTGTTGGCAACGTGGAAGATATGAATGTCACTAGGATTATCTAAGGCATAGAAGCCTCTTCCCCATCAAGAATCGGTAACCATAGTGCATATGTGTACCACACTTTCCATCCCAACACACAGGAGTCAGATAGTAGGGGAAACTCAGTGTGTTGTAAGTGTACCTGGTTCTATAGTGAGATCCACTATATAGAGGGAGCCTTTCTCAATTTAAATCATGAATATGAATGTATGAATGTATAAATAAATGAATTACGGATTGAAGGAACTGGGACAGAAAGAGGAAGATTAAGGGTCAGCTAGCTGAGTAGACACAATTTCCTGAGATGGTCACTGACCATTGATAGACAAATATATTAGGTCCCAGAGTTCCATGTTGTCTGAAGCCCCATGAGGATCCCTGAAGCCTCTATTAGTTTTACAGTATCAAATCAAATCATCAGTATAGAAAGACATCCTGTTCTGTGTCAGGGTTCCATTGGGCGGGGCTGCAAACTGAGCGAGGCTACCGGGTGGAGGTCTGCTTGATGTTGGGCATAAAAAGTTGAGGACCAGTACCTGTCCTAGGTGGATATAAATTTAAGGTCATTTCCTTGGAGTAGAGCTTCAACACCAGTTGGACTCTGGGTTGGTGGTAAGGTGGGTGGAGCCAGAATTCTGTCCCTATTGAACTGAGGAATGAGAGAGAAGTAAGCACCTGGTGGCTTTATTGATTAAGATTATTTAGTCTGATTCAGTAGGAGGCATTCATTCTCCAGTCAAGCTGAGAAGAGGCAGGAGTTTGAGGCTTGGAGAAGAGATCATGTGTCGATCAGTCCTTTCAGAGTGAAGTTTAGATCTGTGGAGCAGATGTCCATGTTTGGGTACTAACAATCACTTATATCTATATAGGAATTTGAAAATGGCAGAGGGAAACCACAAAGAGGAGGTCACTCACCTGAACAACTTTCACTGCCACTTGGAAGAGGAATGGATGAGTGTCAGAGACAGGCCCATCATTGTATCTGACTCCTCTGAGGAAAGGATTTCAATGGTGGTTACCCCATCTACTGAGCTACATGAAGATGACGATCTGGAAGATCATGCCACACTGACAGAAAAACAAGAACCTCAGACATCCCGATCCATCGTCTTCAAACCAGCTGCCCAATGCCATGGTCAGCACAGACTAGGAGAGGAAAGGTCCAGAAATTCTAGTGCCAACCGTGAAGCAGATGCCCACAGCTGTTTTTCCTATTGTTACAACTCACTGTTTGGTTCTGGGGCACAGAATGATTCTGAGGATGAATATGATGAATTTCTGCATCTAGAGAGGAACAAAAAAGAAGTCAAACCTGGACCAAGCATTAAGCAGACAGCAAACAACACTGTCAGCCACAAATTGAAGCAGAATTGCATTATAGTGGATAATAATTGTGTTTTCCCAGAGAGTGGGCCTTTGGAAGCTCAGAACAAACCATCTGAAGACTCAGAGACAGATCTCTTGTCAAATCCTGGAGAGGCAGCTACTTCAGTAGATGACCAGGTAATTGAAGAAGAGCACCGGCTTGACCACCCATCCTTCCAGGATCTGAATCCACAGCCTCAGGAGAGAACAAACCAGGTCATGCCCCAAAAGCAACATTCTGAAGCAGAAATGGGCCCATTGTTCCTGTGCCATGATTTCCCAGAGCCTGATTTTCCAAGGCCAGAACCGCAGCAGGAGGGGATTCCCGGTCCTGCTTCTCCTCGGGCGACCCATCCTCTGGGAGAACTTGAAGATCAGCAGTTAGCAATTGGTGAAGACCCGGAGCCAGCTTTTCATCTTCCAGGATCTCAGGAGGCCAAATTGGAACCCATGTGGGGACAAGGAGCAGCTGAACTAGATCAAGACCTGGTTACGTGGTTAGTGAAAGAAACAGAAGCAAGATTTCCAGATGTAGCAAATGGGTATGTTAAAGAGATCATTCATTTGAAGGATACCTATGATTTGAATGTACTTTGTAATTTTCTTCTGGAAAACCCAGATTATCCAAAGAGAGAAGATGGAATTATTATCCAGCCCAGAACCAGCCTGCTTGTCAGCCAGGATGAGGCGAAGGTGCCTAAAGTAGACTTTTTTGACTATTCCCAACTGACTCCACTTGACCAGCGATGCTTCCTCCAAGCTGCTGACCTCTTGTTGGCTGAATTCAAGATGCTAAGCAGCCATGACATCAAGTGGGTCCTACATAAGCTCAAAGGACACTATGCAATCACACGAAAGGCCCTTTCTGATGCTATTGAAAAATGGCAGGAACAATCACCCGATGCCAATGGAAAACGGAAAAGGAGGAAAGAAATGAATCAGGATTCCTTCATTGATTTCAAATTTGAGCAAGGCAACATAAAAATAGAAAAGAGGATGTTCTTTTTGGCAAACAAGCGTCGACACTGTAGATCCTATTACCAGAAAGACCTCCTCCCAGCTGTGCAGCAAGAGCAGGAATTCTATGAGCAGAAAATCAAAGAGAAGGCAGAGCATGAAGACTTTTTTCTTGCCCTGCAGATGAATGCAGAACAGTATGAAAAGGACGGACAGCTGATTGAGTGTGGATGCTGCTATGGGGAGTTTCCATTTGAGGAGCTGACACAGTGCTCTGATGCTCACTTGTTCTGCAAAGAATGTCTCATCAGATATGCCCAAGAAGCCGTGTTTGGGTCTGGAAAGTCAGAACTCAGATGCATGGAAGGCAGCTGCTCATATTCCTTCCCAACCAGTGAACTGGAGAAGGTGCTGCCCCAGAACATCCTGTGTAAATACTATGAACGGAGAGCTGAAGAAGAAATCACTGCAGCTTGTGGTGATGAGCTTTTCCGCTGCCCCTCGTGTGGCTTCCCTGCTCTGTTGGACAGGGATGTGAAGAGTTTCAGCTGCCCTAATCCTCGATGCCGGAAGGAAACCTGTAGGAAGTGTCGGGGACTCTGGACAGAGCACAATGGCCTCACCTGTGAAGAACTGGCTGAAAAGGATGACATCAAGTACCGGACATCTATTGAAGAGAAAATGGCTGCTGCTCGCATTAGAAAATGCCCCCGGTGTGGGACTGGCCTCATCAAATCCGAAGGCTGTAACCGCATGACTTGCCGCTGTGGTGCCCATATGTGCTACCTCTGTCGAGTTTCTATTGATGGCTACGACCATTTCTGCCAGCATCCTCGCCTTCCAGGAGCCTCTTGCCAGGAATGTTCCAGGTGTTCCATTTGGACCGACCCCACTGAAGATGATGAAAAGCTGATTGAGGAAATCCAAAAGGAGGCTGAAGAGGAACAGAGAAGGAAGAATGGACAGAATGTCTTCAAACGCATCGGTCCCCCACTAGAAAAGCCAGCCAAGAAAGAACACCACGAGGAAGGCCCGCCATGGTTTGTACCACAGATGCCACCCTTTGTCATTGTGTACGCACCTTTCTTCCGGCCACCTCGGTGGCCCGGGTTCAACAACTTCCCCATCAACATAGGTCCTATACCAGTACCCTACGGACCACCTCTGCCCAATATGGGTGGCAACTACGACTTTGGCCAAGTACATGTGATCCCGGAGCACAACCTGCCCATGCACTTTGGCCCCCAGCCATGGCACCGCTTCTGACACCCTAAGCTCTTGTCCAGCCACACTGAGTCTTCCGAGGACCCAGTCTCCACTTTCAGGGGTGGAGTCTTACATGGGTGGAGTCTTGGCTTCCCTCTTGAGGGCGGCCGGTGTCCTCCTACTCTTTACTTTGCAAGGTCCAATGATGCTTCAGGTCTACTCAAGTTCAAGGGCCTCTGAGACATATCTGTGGCACAAGTTCTGTTCTGTGATCAATGTACTTGACCCTGTTCACAAAGTTTGACCTGCAAATCTTTCCCTAGGACTGGCAACTACTGAGAGTCAATCATTCTAACACTTGACACCAGACAAAAGGGCATTATTGCAATGTTGTCACTTATTCCTGACCTACTCCTTTTCTGTGGGTGACCTCACTTGTCACCAACCTGTGATGGACCACATCTCTAAGGTGTTTTGGGTTTCCCTCGGTTTGCAAATAGCCTTGTGTGACAGCCTCAGTCGTCACAGCAACCACCCTGCCTGCTTATCTCTTCTCTCATCAGATAGCATGGGAAGCAGGCTGAGGCTGAGGCCCCAGCTCCAGGATGAGATCAGCTGCCTTCCCTAAAGTCAGAAAGCTGCACCATGCTCCCACTGCCTGTGTCCTCTCCAGTCCTCACCACATCTCTGGATCCCTCTGACCTGTTTGTAGAGAAGGACTGACCCCAGATGGGTTTCTCAGAGGCCAAGTCAGTTTAAACTATTGTGTAAAAAGACTGTATCATATGGAACTTGAATTTCATGTAAATAAATATTTGTGAATGCTAAATAAAATATTATGCAGTCTAATATTTCTGAAAAGTTCCTGTCATGTATTCGTTGTTGACCTTCAAGTTACTCTGTAACCCAGACTGTCCTTGAATTTATAGTTTTCTTAGTACAGAATTCAAGTAGCTGGGATTCCAGGTCTGTGCCCCTGGTCTGGCTCTTATGTGCCCATTGATAATACGAATGTATAACTACTAGGGAATCATGGAGAAATTTTGTCTGTTATTACTGGATTTGTTTTTCCTTTTAAGGCGGGGTCTCCTGTAACCTAGGCAGGAGTTGGAGTTACTGTGTAGTTTGGGTAGGCTGGATTTCCCCTTCTGATCATTCTTCCTTCGCCTCCAAGACCAAACAGGCCTGTGATCTAACATGGCTTGTAGATGCAAGAACTGGTCCTAACTTCTATAACCATTTAACAAATTAGCATTTAAATGCAAGGTTACAAATCTGAACAAGGTATCAAGCTCCAATTTCTTCTAAAGTTTAGCAGTAAGAGGGCTGGACTTATATTCTCAGATTCATTTCATACACAATCCTGTCACTTCATATTCTTTTGGAAACAGTGGTTAAACATTGTGGGGTCCATGCTAGCCACATCTTTAATGCTAGCACTCAGGAGAATATGTCATGGTGATCTCTTTCAGATTAAGGACTGTAGGGTCAACATAATGAATTCCAGATTAGCCTAGGCTAATGGAGAAATACTGCACCAACAACAAACCAGTGAAAACAATTACAATTGCATCAGTACGGACTGTCAGGGGTGTGACTGAAATCTGAGTGGCAGCAAAGATCATTTGGTAGGGAGGAGCCAAAGAGTGGGTGGAGATTTTGGGTTTCCAGAAGATATTTAAGTACTGGTTCCTGGAGTAGTGGTCAAACAGAGAGGGGGATCTGAACAAGGTGAAACGACCTACTGAGTTCCCTGAGAATTGAGGTCTCAAGGAAATGTGGGTATGATAGGTAGGTTTTGGGGATCTGTCTGATGTGGGGAAGAGGGAGCTAAAAGAGTAACAGCCTTGGTAAGACCCTGGAGATTTATGCATATTTGGTGTTTGAAATCCACCCTATTCCCAGCTTGATGGGTTTTAGAAAGTCCTTAAAAAATTCAGAGCCGGGCGTTGGTGGCGCACGCCTTTAATCCCAGCACTTGGGAGGCAGACGCAGGCAGATCTCTGTGAGTTCGAGGCCAGCTTGGTCTACAAGAGCTAGTTCCAGGACAGCCTCCAAAGCCACAGAGAAACCCTGTCTCGAAAAACCAGGAGGTGTTTGTAGGTTCTCGATGGGAACACTGAGAACCAGATTAGTCAAAAAATGAGGGGCAGCCGAACAACAGTGCTGATGAGACCCCAGGGTACTGTCCCACCTACTATACTTTTGTGTAGCGTTCTTTACCACAGAAGAGACCTGAGCAGGATGCTGTCTACCAAGCCTGCAACAGACGACAGGGAACTATGAGTGGAGGACCTAGGGACTGTGGGGTTTCTCTGATCTATTTCTGTTTTTATTCCCAGGTTCTCCAGTCTACAAAGATCTCACAAAAGAACCAAATTCCCATGTGATTCCAGGATCTCATGTTCCCCAGGGCTTCCCACTTCCACCTGGTCTAAAAATGAATGGAGGCCCCGTTGTACTTCCATGTAACAAATCCTCTAGCTCTCCAGTGCACCCAGTCACCCATGGTTCTGCAAGTACCTTGAGTCCACCATGTCCACAAGGTCTCCTGACTTCTCAAGTCCTCAAAAGTCACAAGTTTCTCTCAATGATCCATGGAGGCAGTGGAAAGAATGGGCAGTGTTCACTCAATAACAACACCTGGTTTTGCAAGAACATTTTGATGAGTGCATGCACCCTAATCAGGAGCAATGCATGGCACTGGCTCAAAGATTTAGCTGGAAGGAGCACCATATTAAGTTATATCCTCTCCTATGTCTCCCTCTGGCTAGCCAGTCTCCCAGCAGATACCTGCACACTTCCCCAACCCTGCATTTCTCGTGCCCTTCCATTCTTTCAGCTACTTGACCTAGGAACAAGCTGTAGAATGGATCTAAGGCTGTTTTCTCATCCCCCTTACCCTTCTAGTACAGAATCGAGGTGTAATGCATAAGGATAATTGCACTTCAAAGTGTCCTAGTGGCTCACCTTAAAACTGCTGCCTTCTAATAGAAGCTTCATGAATCTCTAGGGTTGTATTCCCACTTGCCCTGCATTCATTCTCCTTGTATCATTGAACCTTATAGTTCTTTGTTTAGGTACTGGTAAAGACCACGTTGTAGGTTTTTCATTCAGCATCTTCCTATTTTGGACTTGAATGGTCCCATGGACTCTCCTGATCTACTCTTTCCTTTGTCTCTTGAGATATGGTTGAAGAGTAGACAAGCTAGAGAGAAGTCTGAGAACTACTGGGGAATCCTGTCTGTGATTCTCAAGATAGACCTGCCTCCCTCACTGCTGTGTTTCTCTTGTGGGATCTGCCAATGCAGATTCCCTGTGTCAGAGCCCTTCCAGAATCAGGCTACTCCTCACATTAGTCCCTTAAGTAAATCTTCAAACCAGGAATCTCACTTCTCCATTATTGATCAAAATTTGAGGAGAACCACTTCAGAAAGAGCTCAGCTATGGAGAAGAGGCAGAGGCAGAAGAGTTTAGAACTTCATCTGGAATGAGGGCAATATTGTGATAGGTCTGGACTCCCCAAGGTTGTGTCCCTCTTGCAGGATCAGACAACTCAGATTCTATGTGTGAGAGACCATTGGGGGTCAGTGCTCCTCCTGTACTCAGCCATTCGAATATTGCCCCAAACTCAGAATCCATCTCCTCCATGTGGAAGAGACCAAAAATTGTGAGCCTCCTCATCAACTCAGCCCCCCTTAAACCATTCACTAGACAAGGCATCCATTTTATCTAACATTGATTGTGCCTGTTGGCGATCTCCAAAAGAATAAAGGGAGCAGAGGCAGCAGAGTAAGAAGGTTAGAGAATTCCCCTGGAATGGAGCCCAGGATCTGTACCTTGAATTCTTCCTGTCAGCCTGGACCCAGTGCCGTGTCAGTCCCAAATGAACAAGCAGGGCTCTATATTAATTATGAAGCTGTTGGCCGTTTGCTATGGTTTCTTAATGGCTAGCTCTGATGTAATTATAACTCATATATATATGGTCTTACCTTACTGAGAACACCAGACTTGTGCCCTCTCTTTGGATCACATGGCAGCCCTCTACTCTTGACTACATTTCCCAGATCCTCCTCTGTGTAACAGCCCTGGCTAATCTTGAACTCCTGCTCCTCCTGGCACCATCTTCAGGATTCTGGGATTACAGGCACAAGCCATCATGCCCTGCTGGACCATTCTTTTACAAGAGTTTGTCTTGCCCAAGCTTGAACACCAAAACCAACCCTATGGATTTTGTTCAATCATCTTGCCCAATGTGGTACTAGAGAATTCCAGCAGAGGGCACTCACATATTTTTCTGAATATGGTGCTAACTTAAAAACAGAACTGATAAAACTGTATTTCATTTCAGAAAGACTGAACCAACCCACCAAAGCAAACACATTTTGAAATTTCCTATTGCCAGAGAGAAACAATGCTTTTAAGGGACTCCTATACACATTCATAGCTTGCAAGCAGCTCACAATGTTCATTTTCTAGTCTAGCAGCTGGTGGAAAGCAGGCACTCATAACCATTTCTGTCAATCAACAGCTTGATAATGGAAAGCTCTAAGTGACCACTGAGAGGCTTACAGACTTTTTCTATGATGGGATGTGGGATCATTAATTTCTTCCAGTTTATTTCTCTTTTGTCCCATGTGTTGATTCGAGGAGGACTTTGGTTGTCTTTAATTATGTCATGCCCAGTCGTTGTTGCTAGAGCAGCAGGATGTCATCACGAAGAAGATGGTGGCAGATGTGGAAGCTGGGAGATCTTCTAGGAGGCAATCAGTTCCCCAAGGGACAAGAAGATTTTTGGTTCTGGTTGGTTGGTTAGCGTTGGTACGATGTACAACTCAGCAGCAGAGTGCTTCAATCCCCATTAACAACAACGTTAATGTCCACAATGGCAAATGGACCACACTATGTACAGCAGAATGGCCTGCTTTCAATGTAGGCTGGCCCCCAGAAGGGACATTTTGCCTGGATCTCGTTAGTAGGGTGTAAGACATTGTCTTCCAGCCCTGTACAGGGTATCCGAACCAGGTACCATACATAGTCACCTGGCGAAGTCTCAGAGGACCCGCTCCCTTGTGTCAAGCCTTTTCTCTCTTGCCTTGTACCAATAACCCCTTCTGTCCCACAGCTGATGGCTGTTAAGCCCACAGCCCGATCCCCTCAGGAACCCGGCCCCAAACCACCAATTCTTCAAGGGGATACAACTGAGTTCGATATCTTTCCTCCTCCTCCCCCTTATCCTTCTGCCCCACAGGCACAGGCAGCCAGACAACTGGAGCTGGCTGAACTATATGCTGGGAACGGGTGAGGGCCGGCTCACCCACACCCTCAGAGCGGCAACCCCACAGAATGGAACTATGGCTTTCCCTCTGCGCCTCGCAGGACCACCTGACGAAGCAAGAAATCAACCTTTCCACTGTTGGCCTTTTGCCACAAGTGACCTGTAAAACTGGAGATCCCAAAATGCCCCTTTTCCAGACAACCCACGAGACTTAATTAATCTTCCTGAAACTGTCCTTTTCACTCACCAGCCTACAGGTTGGGTCGACTGCCAGCAGCTTCTTAAGATTCTTTTTTACCACAGAGGAGAGAAATAGGATGGTGGAGGGTGCCCCGAAATTGGTTCAGGGACCATCAGGGTACCCCACCGATGACCCAGCCATCATAGATGCTGGTTTTCCAACCACATGACCAACCAGGGATTATAACACAGGACAAGATAAGGAGCATCTCCTGGTCTATCACCAGACTCTGTTAGCAGGTCTCAAGGCTGCAGCCAGAAGGCCAGTCAACATGTCCAAGGTCTATGATGTCAGACAGGG